TTTTTTTTTTTTTTTTTTTTTTTTTTTTTTTTTTTTGGTTTGGGTTTGTGGTGTATGAAATTAATGTCTTGTTTAGCATCAGTTTTTGTTGTTTTTAGGATTAATTACAGTTCGTGTTTAAATTAAATTAAATTAACTCAACGAATATGTCTTCAGCACTCCCTCATTTAAATTAAGTTTCTTAAACTTGTTCTTCCATCACAAAAGAAACGTTTTATTTTACAAGGAAGTGAAAGAAAAGAGAAAGAAGCTGCAGGCTTTTGCTTTTGGGAAATAAAGGAAGCGTTGGCTGTGGCTGTGAGGCTGAGGCTGAGTGGCTGTGCCTGTGCCTGTGCCTGTGCCTGTGTCTGCTTTCTTTCAACATCTTCACTGATTCTCACTGTTCTCTCACATTTGCTTTCAAATCTACAGCTTTCTGCTTTATATGCTGCCTCAATTCTTATTCTAATCAACACTTTGATTTCTTTTAGTTTTGTACTTCATGTGTCTTCTTTTCCAGGTAAAAATCATATTAGAAAGCTTAGCAAATGACCCAAATGAACCAACTTTAGAATCCAAAACCATTGGATATCTCTTTCATCAGATTCCCAATGCTTTGATTTACATTTTTTTTCTTATAATTAATGTTTAGCGGTGGGAAGATGTTGTAGTAATATTTTTGTAAGTCCATTTACTTTCTCAAAATAAATAGTGAAATGAACAACTTAGAAGCATGACTTGATTGAGCCACTTCAAAGAACAATACATGTAAAAGTTTCCAAGCGATTGAAAGAATTGAGGTAAATGATTCTCATTTTTTCTCTCCATGTAATGTAGTCAAACTCTCATGACTAAAGGCAGACAGATCGGCAATGCGAGATTCAAAGATGTCGTCCCATGGCCTTACCACATAACAAAGCGTTGGGAGGGATGTTGTATTCATTGGCAAGACTCTGAGTTTGAGTCCACACTCTGAGATAGAACTGTTGCCCAAGATACTGTCTTTCCCAGATTGCAGACCTTAAGTTCCACATCCCTTGATTGTCTAATGATACCAATATGGCTGTCCATGAATTTGGATACACCTGCAACACCAACAACCAACACAACAAGCTCAGGGCAAAATGCCATTCAAATGAACTACAGAGCTCAAAATGTCAAAGCAGAGTCACTGCATAATGGCATTGATGCCGAGTCGTTTACCTGTGCTGTGTGTCTGGTAAGAGCATCTACTAAATTGTAGGAGTTTCTGCTGGCTTGACTCCATTGTCCATAGCCATATCTATCATATTGCCAACAAAGGGAAAATATCAAGATATTTGCAAAGGAAACATTGTAGAAGCAAAACACAGCACATTTGACTTACCCAACCACCCAGAAATCATAACCATCAAGGTGGAAGGATTGCATAGAGTGCTCGTTGTTCTGGAATACAATTTCAACGAAATCGTGGAGAGCGGTTGGCAATACAGAAGTAGCAATGAAGGCAGCACCACCAGAGGGAAGGCTCTGGAGGGAATCTACAGAGAAAACACCAGGGATGTTGAAGTAATCAGCAAGCTTTAGAGGGGTGTCTGAATTAACATATGACACCCTGTTGATGGCATATCGCTGTTTTCCATTGATTAAAGGAGCGGATGTTGCCAAAACAATTGTCTTTGTTGGGATAATCTTCCCATAATGGAATGAGCCCTGAGGATTAGGCCTGGCTGCATTTGCTGTTAAGTTCCACCTTCCAAAGATCAATGGTAAAAAAATCAGTCTCCTTGTTGATAACAATAAAAAGAAACCTCGTGTCATTGCGTTGCATCGTTTCGACATACCTGAAAGTTCTGGCTTGCTTCACAGACCAATCTACTTCAATGGTAGGACCAGCAGGCAAAGGTCCAGAAACAGGTGAGTTGGAATTTGAATAATGCAACACTGCCGTTGCTGTGAGAACAGTTCTAGAGAAACGTGTTGATGCAACTATATAATAGTCCTTTGGAGCCTGATCTAAGGTGACTAGAACCGATAACGACTGACCGACATGAACGTCGAGAGAGTCGTATAAGTTCTGGAGAGTATGAGATCCTTCAACTTCCACTAACTTCATTTTATGTCCCTGAATCCTGAAGTTAAGAGATGTTGACAAGCCCACATTTGAGATCCTGAACATGTAAGTTTTACCTGAAATGTTTGCAAGAGTCGTTGTTAGGTTACTTAGCAAACTTCAATATAAAAGGGAAAGCATAATAGATATGTTTTGAAAAGAACCTTGATTGCCAGTGAAAGTACTATGAGTTTGTCCATTTATAAGAACACCATCAGGTAAGGGAAGAGACCTTCCTGCATCTAGAGATTCTTGCAGGGACTGAAAAGTAAAGAAACCGACATTAACAAAGAACTCTTGTCATTAATAGTTGACCATGTTCGATATTAAAATACCTTGTGACTAGTCTTGTACCAATCACCAACAAGTAGAGTAAAATCTCCATCTTGAACAGGATAAGGGATTGGAATTCGCGGCCTCTGGTAGACATTCAGAGCTCCAAAGCCACCAGCAGCTTTGTGAAACTGAGTAGAAGGGAAGTATGCAAAGGATCCAATCTGATCTTTGGTTTGGAAGGAGTAAGTGTAATTAGAGTTTGGAGGAATGGCACAGTTGGTCCCAAGAACTCCATCTTGCCATGAGTTCTTCCTCTGTTTGATCCCATTCCTTAAGATAGAACAAGCATTACAGAACAGAACTAAAGCCCAAAGCAACCAATTTACTTAAGAAATTGTTTGAAAACATAACAACAGATGGCTTGGTAACGTGGTCTGAATGAAGCTATGAACTGAAATTATAATGGCGGAAAAGGAATGATTTGATGGAACTCACCATGTAAGCAAGAAAGGCTCATCCAGCTTGTTGATAAGGTTGAGAATGATATTGTCATTGGTCACTACTTCTAATTTGGGGCCGGGAAACTGACCGTTTATCAGGATAACCTTAAAAATCAAACAAAACCCACCATTAATAAACTGTAAAAACCAGATCTGAAACATGAACAGCAGTAAACCAACCTGTTGAGGAACACCCAGAGGAGAAATAGTCCCATATGTAACTGTCCAAGTGTAAAACCTATATGGGTTTTCAGCATTCACCAATGAAATGCTCAGCAAAGCCAAAGCTCCACAAATCAGTCGAAGCAAGCCCTGTTTCTCCATTGAATCTGCAAAACGGCATTGCATCAGAAACCCCCATAAACAAAATAAGAAGACAGAGTTCAAAGAAAAGAAAACTCACTCAGATTATCGGGGAGTGAGGGAAAGCAGAGGAAATCGAGGTTGAAAAAAGGGTTAAATTTGAAACCCTTTTGGGGTCAGTGGGTAACAGCTAGAAGACGATTGATTACAACTGGAGTGGGTGAAAGGCTTAAATAGAGACAAGGCGGGAAGGAAATTGAAAGAATATTAAATTGCTAATCCAATTTGAGTGAAAGCCTTAAAAATTTGAACTTTACAGGAGGAGGAGAGACAGTGGGCAGTATGTATGTGGTAAAGGTTGTAACTTTATGGAGTATTCGGTGCTGTTAACGCGTTTTCTCATAATTGGAAGCCAAATCGCTTGAATTGGAAGCGAGCTCGATAAGAGTGAATGAGAGTCAAAAGTTATAATAATTATTTCTCATGTTTCTTTTATGACCAAAAAAAAACCTCCCCTGATTACGCTGTTAGCTATGACTTTAATCTTCCCTTCTTTTTCGTTGTCTTTCTCCATCAGGATTATGAGTCTCTTCCCTATCAAAATGGATTTCAATGGATAATGATGAACATGTCTGGAAATTTAAGCCATGTTTTTTTTTTTTTAAATTGATTTGTGTTTCTAAAAATGATAAATATAATATAAAAATTGAGAGGAAGTCAATGTCTAGTCTTAAATAACGAGCATAATTGAAGTTGGTAGAATACAGTTATTTGCTTATTATATTATGAAGCATGGTGGATTATTTTAGTTCACTCCACCGGACCCAAGCTGGTGAACCAAACCCTCATTTATATTTTTAATATCAAATGCCAAATGCACTTATTCCTTAATTATTTAAAATAAATGAATTTGATATGAATTAGATTATTGACGAAGTATAACATGGACAACTATTCGTATCATTCAATAGATACGAGAATCTTAGATAATAACATATTTTTATTGGGTTACAATTTAAATTTAAATGATGTGAATAAAACTTAAATTTTCATCCTTTTAAAAAGAAGATGAAAAGAAGATGAAGAGGTTGCACACACATAATTAAATACAAATAATAAAGGAATGTTAAAAGAAGACATGAAATGTACAAGTATTTAAGTTTTGGTTGAGTATAGGAAAGGTGGGACATAAATTTATGGATGAGAGGCGCATGTGAGATGTCGGGGAAGGGTAATGGATATTAATTTTGGTAGGTAGTGATGCCCCACACGGCTTGCTGCTTAACCACGCACCGCCGTTCATTGCCCACACCCATCTCTCTCCCCACCACCCACCCCCTTCATTCCAAAACTCCCACGTTTCTCTTAATTACCAACAACTAATCCCATATAAATCCATACCATTTATGATAATCAGAAGAATTACAGGAGTTATTTAAATTGATAATTTATCATATTTGCTAGCGAGGGTTTGAACGGTTACCGTCATCTCATTAGCTAAACTGGACGGAGGCTTAGACTGTTACATGAATCTTGTTAGCTAAGCATATGTTTTATTGGTAAATAGAATTGAGTGCATGAGTCGTTAGATATATATTATTAGCTAAATAGGATCGAGGCTGGGGGCTATTATAGAAATCTCATTAATACATGAACGGTTACAAAAATCTCATTAGCTAAACAATACTGAGTACATGAGCTGTTACATATGTCTCATTAGCTAAACAGGATTGAGTGCATGAGTTGTTCGAGACATGTTATTAGCTAAACAAGATCGAGGCTTTTGCTATTATAGAAATCTCATTAGTATATGAGCGGTTACAAAAATCTCATTAGCTAAACAAGATTGAGTAATGATTAATCTCATATATTATTAAACCCTAAACTCCATTAAAATCTCATGAGTGGTCAGCATTTACAAGTCTCATTCTCGGCTTACAACTCATCAACCTTTTCTATCGGCTTTTTACTTCCATTAGCGAAGGAAGGTTCACCGTCATCATCGATTGCTCAATCTTTAGATGTTTGAGAACTCCAATCAATTTTCAAACTCAAGTATGTTGATGTACATGCACGCTAAATTCTTATTTTCAGACCAATTATTGGTTTCCTTCCAAAACAATTCCAATATCCACTTTCTCAACTTTTCAATCAAGATTGTCCACATTTCTTCGATGAAACCCCGGAGATTCCAAAGACTACAAAGCGAGAAAAAGGGGTTTGGCTGATTGGTAAAGGTATTGTTATCTGCCATCAGTTGGTCTATTTTTGACGGAAAAAATGGCGCTGGAATTGGTGGGTGGAGCTGTTTTGGGCGCCGTAGTTGGGGAGCTGTTCAAAGTAATCTTGGATTTGGGCGAAAGGGCCATCAATTTCAGTCCTGTTCTTAAGAATATCAGTTTCAAGCTAAAAGCTATAATCCCTTTGGTGAACCAAATCGACGAGCTTAATGAGTTTCTCGATTACCCAAAAGAAGAAACAGAGAAATTGAGGGATCTAATGGATGAAGGGAGGCGGCTACTTCTCCAGTGCGGCGATGTGAAATTGGGGAATCTTGATTATCTGAAGAAGCCATTTTACACCAAAAAGCTTCGGGACTTGGATACTGAACTCCGAAGCTTCATGGACGTTTTGATGCTCCAGATGTCTAGAGACCAGAAGAGGAACTTGAAGTCAATGAACCAACTTATGGAGATTCTCTGCAGAATCGACAGCAGAGGTGGGTCGAGCAAGCCAGTGGATTTCATAGTATCGCCATGTCTGGTTCCTCAACTGCAAGAAGAAACTGTTGGGTTGGAGAAACCAGTTAAGGAGTTGAAGGTCAAAATTCTAAAAAATGAGGTTCGAATGTTGGTTGTCACAGCTCCTGGGGGCTGTGGAAAAACCACACTGGCCTTGAAGTTTTGCCATGACAAAGAAGTCAAAGGTACGCCTAAATCATTCTTTTGGTGAATGAACTTCAAATGAGCTATGTGGGTGCTGCTAATTTCATGGCGAGATAATGAAACTTGATGCATATCTCACTGGAGCTTTCTATTTTGGCATCTTGATAGATATATTCCAGGGGAAGATCATCTTTGTTGCAGTTTCAAGAAAACCAGACTTGAAGCTCATAATGAAAAACATAATTGAAAGCCTCAGAGGCATTCAATTGCCTGCTTGGCAAAGTGATGAGCATGCATTCTGCTATTTAGAATTGTGGCTGAAGCAAACAAGCCAAAAACCTATATTGATTGTGCTAGACGATGTGTGGAATGGGTTAGAATCAGAATGCCTTCTTGATAAGCTTTCTCAAATGCCTTGCTGCAAGATTTTGGTCACTTCAAGGTTTTCTTTCCCAAGATTTAGTGAGTCTTATTATTTGGAACCTTTGAACCATGAGAACGCAATGAAACTTTTTCGTCGCTCAGCATCATTGGACAATGGAAGTTCTAAGCTCCCTGATGAAGAAACTTTAGAAAAGGCAATACAGCTCCATGCTATATACTTTCTTATTTTTCCAGGTGAGATGTCTAAGTCTGTGTAATTGAATTTCAGGTAATTGGGGGATGCAAGAGACTCCCTCTTGCACTGAAGGTAATCGGAAGATCACTTTCCCGCAGGCCGACATCGGTTTGGAGAGTTACAGGGAGGAATTTGTGTAGAAGTGGTTCCATATTTGACTCTGAGAAAGAGCTTCTTGAATGCCTGCAGAGCAGTCTGGATGTGTTGGATGATAAGATGGTGACTAAGGAGAGTTTCATGGATCTAGGTTCTTTTCCTGAAGACCAGAGAATTCCTGCTTCTACCTTCATTGACATTTTCACAATTTTGTATGGAGAAGATGAAAATGAAGCAATGGTCACCCTCCATGAACTATCCTCTCGGAGTCTACTTAATTCTGCCACAACAAGGTAAATTCTGTGCACATATTTGCTAAAAATTTGAATTACCGATTACCCAAATATGCAAAGTTTCTCCAACTGCTGATATTATTATTACCTGTATTGATATCAAAATGATAGCAACTGATTTGTCTTGTGGGGCTATCCCTCAGAAAATATGATGATGAGTTCTACGAAGAGCAGTTTTTTAGTCAGCATGATAGTCTTAGAGATTTGGCTATCTACTTGATGAATATAGAGCCCATAGAGCAAAGAAAAAGATTGTTCTTGGAGATGAATGGAAATGATTTCCCTAAATGGTGGGTAGAACAAGAGAAGCATCCCTCCAATGCCCGCCTGATATCCATAACCACAGGTCTTTCTCTCACTTTCTGTGATATTATTCCAGTTTCTTGTTGTTTCACTTCTTAACTTCAAAATCAAAGGGGATTTTGAGATGTTGCAGATGAGAGATTCTCATCAAGTTGGCCTGACATGGAAGCACCTAAAGTGGAGGTTCTGATTCTTAATCTTCAGTCAAGAACATACAACTTGCCCGGGTTCATCAAGAGAATGAATAATTTGAAAGCTCTGATCATCACAAATTTTGGGTGTTTTCTAACTGAGGTGACAAGTGAAGATAATCAACCATTCAACTGTCTGCAAAATCTTGAACGAATCAGGTTCGAGCGGATTTCAGTACCTCGCTTTCGTAATAATCAGAACCTGAAACCACTGAGAAATCTGCAGAAAATATCCTTCGTGATGTGCAAATTTGGTAAAACATTCATCAACATTTCAAGCCAAATCTCGGAATTGTTGTCCAACTTGGTGGAGATTTCCATAGACTTATGCAACGATTTGAGTGCAATCCCCAATGGGGTGTGTGACATTGTGAAGTTGCAAAAGCTGAGCATTACAAATTGCCATGGACTAACTTCGTTGCCAGAAGATCTTGGAAAGCTGATTAATCTAAAAATGTTGAGGATAAGATGTTGCATATATCTAGCAGAGTTGCCGGAGTCGACGACGAAGCTTCGGGAATTAGTCCATCTCGATATATCACACTGTCTTGATCTTGTCAAGCTTCCTGAGAAGATGGGTGAATTGCATCGATTAGAAAAGCTCGACATGAGGCACTGCACGAGCTTGCGCAAGCTGCCATCGTCCATCAGAAATCTGAAAAATTTGACCCTTCTATGTGATGGAGATATTGCAGAGTGGTTGAAAATGGTTGCACCCCGCCTTGGGAAACAGGTGAAAGTGCAAGAGGAAGAAGCCAACCTGGATTGGCTATGTTTATGACCCATTCCATTCTTTCATTTACTACATTTAAAAAAAGAGTTAAATAAATTAATAAACCAACGTTGTAATCGTTTGTTGG